TGTATGCCAACCCTGAGGGAGATTCAAGAAAATCTGGGGAGATTTGAGGAAATCTGAGGAGATTTATGAGAGATGTGAGGATATCAGGATATCTGGGGCAATGTGAGAGAAATCCAAGGAGAAATCTTACTGAGAGACCATGCAGGCGTCCAGAATTTAATTTTCCATTGATTGAAAATAATCAAGAGGATATTATGATGTTAACAGGTTTTCCACTGGAATAAAATACATTGTAATAAATGTAGGTAGCTTTGATATTGCCAGGATAGTAATAGATCAAGAGTTGTGTTAAGAAGAAGAACCCGGGAGTTGTGTTCTGACTTTGCACTTGTGCTGGTATTCTATGAAATTCCTGAAAAATTAGGGAGATCTAGCGAAATTTTGAGAGATTTAAGGAAATCTGAAGAAATCTTAGGGGGATCATGGGTAATCTGTGGATATCTTTTACATAAATGTTCAAAGATATCTCTTGTAGACTCAAATTTGTTGTTACTAACCCCTCATATCTAACTAAAGGGATTAAATCAAAGAGGCAACATTCATAGCTTTTTTTTTCTAAGATAAACTATAGTCTGGCTAGCCAAACAGCGAACTCCAAAAGAATTTGATGATGGTGACATATTTTTTTTGCTGTATGGGCATGTGTAGTATTTCGAAATAGAAAAAAATCCGGCAACATTGCGAAATGATGGATGTGGAGAGGCGTGATTATTCAGGGGCCTGATTCCATTGGTTAGAGTCTGAACGACAGCACGCACTGGCGTGGTTATTGGCGAAACTAGAGAATTTTTTTCTAATAATTTTATTGGTTTATTTCCTTGGTGTTTCCGGTGCCACTGAACCGAAAGACATGGCTGTCATCAGGCGGTGTCAGTTGAGGTGTCAGTGAATATTTTTAGGTTACGCCCCAGTTTTCTTCCCCCTTTCGTCTCGACCAAGTTACCACTTGCCAAACTATAGGTATACAATTTTTTAAAATCTTGTGTACTGTAATATGCCAATTAAATTTTCTTCTTATATTTTTTTATCATATGTCCAAATCCATTAAATATAAATATATGGAGGAATGTTTTCCAGCAAATCCTTTTTCCATTCCAGCAAACATAGTCGTACTACATCACAAAATAAAACACCTCCATTTTACCAAAGGATTATATGACAAAGTCAGATATACAAAGCATGTTGTGTTGTGTGCGGTGTATCTAAAATATTTGAGGTCATAATTTTTGAGATTTTATATAACGAAGTTGCAGCAAAACTTTCCCCCAATCAGCATGGTTTTTTGCCAAAGAAGTCAACATTTACAAATCTGGCATGTTTTTCACAATATATCCATAATGCCTTAAACAACAAAACTCAAGTTGACGTAATTTATTCAGACATGGAGAAGGCATTTGATAGAGTTAGTCACTGTGAGATAATAAATGCCTTGTCTGACATGGAAGTTTCTCAATTTTTAATTAAACTTACAAGTTCATACTTAACTGGCAGATTTCATTATGTTGAGATTAAAGGCTGTAAGTCTGTTCTATACCAGAGTACGTCGGGAGTACCCCAGGGATCTAATTTGGGACCATTACTTTTTATAATTGCTATAAACAGCATTCTCAGCAATGTTAAGGGCAGTATGGCTCTTTTGTTTGCCGATGATTTTAAACTTTTTTTGGAGATTATTTCTTCTATTGATTGTGAATTGTTACAAAACGAATTTTCTAATGTTGTTAATTGGTGTCAAGAAAATAGTTTTAAGTTAAATTCAAGCAAGTGTGCTTGTATGTCTTTTACACTTAATAAGAAACCAATAGATTTTAATTATACCACGAGTGGCGAAAAACTTGATAAAGTTAGTAAGCAGAAGGACTTGGGAGTCATTTTTGACAGCAGTCTTTCATTCTCTGAACACATTATAACAAAGATACAGAGCGCACAGAGGATAGCAGGTTTTATAGCACGCAATACTAAGACTTTTAGGGTTGATGTAAGCCTTCATTTATTTGATAGTCTGGTGTTGCCTATCTTGGAGTATGGGTGCTTGATATGGTCGCCCCAATATAACGTATGGATAAATATTATTGAGGGAGTGCAAAGAAAATTTTTAAAGACTATGTATTACAGAAGGTTTGGAGTCTACCCTCAGAGGGGTTGTGATAATGGCTTCCTCTTAGGAATTTTCAATAGACTATCTTTGGGTGAGAGACGTGTGAAGATTTTCTTATGTACTATGTTTAAAATTCTGAAGGGTGACATCGACTGCCCTGATATCCTTGAGCAATTACCATTTTCTGTAAATCGTTGTAATTCTAGAACCACAAATATCTTCTACCTAGCTTTTCCACGAAACAACCTATTTAAAAACTCCCCCATTTATGGTCTTTGCAATCTTTTTAATTTGTATGCATCTGACATAGACATAGACCTGATAAACTTTAAAACATTTAAAAACTAAATTGACAAAAAATTGCGCCAGAGTTAATTTTGGGTAGTTGCCGGATCGTAGTATAAATTTTATCAATAGTTAATTTTCTTAGTTTTTCTATTTTAAATTTGCTGTAATCTGTGGTCTGTATACCTGTTTGTACTTACCGCATCATATATTTTATATTTTATATTTAATAGTTATAATGTCTTTATTTTATCATGTTATCCGATTTTATCTATACGTAGCTTAAATTATTTGTCTTCTTCTTAGAAACAATTTTTGTTAGGTAGTATGTATTTTGACATTTGTATTTAGACTATCTGTTTAATATATTTTCTATAAGATTAATTTTAAGCATACAGGTATCTGTAATTGGCAATTTGCTGTTGATATCTCATTGAATAAATAAATAAATGTTGGACAGCTTGCTTATCTGAAATTGTATCTTGAACGAAGATTAACTTTCCATAATCATAATCACAACCTTATGCAAAATCAATATTAAAATATTTTCAGAGTAAACACAACAGCATTGCAAAAATCAATTTTTCATGAAGGGGTTTGCTCCTATAATTTGAAAAATGTACCAAGCTTGGAACTCTTTAGCAATAAATTGAATTGTGTTTTTAAGAAATGGACAATGATACTTTTATTATTTATTGTAACTTTTATGTTTTTCTTTACTTGATGTTACTAGCCAAGAGCTGCATAAAGTCCTATTTATTATTATTTTATCAGAATACAGCTTTGCAGATTATTTTTAACTGCAAGTAACAAGTATACCAAGTAGAATTCATATGTTAAATCTAGCCAAACAAACAAATATCCAAAATACATTGATATTAATATATTTATGTCATACCAATACATTATTGTTTTTTTATACTTTAGATACCATCTACATAATCCATTACTTTATGCCCGTGCGGGCATAAAGTACACATTATGGCCCGCGCGGGCATAAAGACGCAAAAAACAGTTTTCAATTAACTTATTCTTTATTAACAAAATATAAATTCACGCTTATAAACATATTATTTTTGTCAAAAAATGATGATGTTTGCACACTGATGACAATTTGCGAAGTGACACTTTTTTCCCAGGTATTTATTATTCCCAACCAACTAGTATGACATAAAAGTTTGTATGCACCACGGGTACTAATAGATATATATACCCTCGGGCGACTTACGAACCCTCGGGCCAGAGGCCCTCGGCTTTGTAAGACTGTCGCCCTCAGGGCATAATCATCTACTTAGTACCCTTGATACATAAATAACTATTATTTCCTACCGAACTATTATAACCATATAATACCTTGGTTACGATAATCATAAACAGGGTCTTAACTCCCAAGGGAGTTAAGGGTTTCATAACTCCCGCACGGGAGTTAAGGATATCATCACTCCCAAGGGAGTTAAGGATTTCCATAACTCTCGCTTTTACCTTGAATAGGTGAAACTTTGACAAAAAATAGAAATTTTGGTTTATGGTTTATTTCTTTATAAAAATGGACAAAATACAGTAAATTCAGTAGAAAATAAAATTATCTATGTACCACGGGAATTATCATGTGTTAATACCCACGGACAATTGGTGTCCCTCGGGCCGAAGGCCCTCGGGACACAAACTTTGCCCTGGGGTATTAACACCCTCATAATTCCCTTGATACATAAATAACTATTATATCGTACTGAACTATTATAACCATATAATACCTTGGTTACGATTATCATAAACAGGGTCTTAACTCCCTAGGGAGTTAAAGATTTTCATAAATCCCGCGCGGGAGTTAAGGATATCATAACTCCCAAGGGAGTTAAGGATATCATGACTCCCAAGGGAGTTAAGAATTTTCATAACTCCCGCTTGTATCTTGAATAGGTAAAACTTCGAGAAAAAATAAAAATTTTGATTTATGGTTTCTTCCTTTATAAAGATAGACAGAATACAGTAAATTCAGTAGGATATAAAATTATCTATGTACCACGGGAATTATCAGGTGTTAATACCCACGGGCAATTGGTGTCCCTCGGGCCAGAAGCCCTTGGGACACAAACGTTGCCCTGGGGTATTAACATCCTCATAATTCCCTTGATACATAAATAACTATTATAAAATGTTGAATGATTCAATGATCCACTGTCCAGGCATCTAAAGATATCAAGGGTACAATACTCGATCAAGGAGCAAGTTTTACATTTACATAATTCAGATTAAGCAGAAATTAACATGTTAAAGAAACCCAAAAATTACTATAGGAAAATGTTACTAAAGAATACTGTATGACTAAAGCTAAGTTTCCGGCTACAAAGTACTAGCAGTCCTAGGAAAATGCACCCTAGTCCTAATAGAAGCGCCTTAATTAAATTTTCAAGTTGGGACTGTTTTTAAAACTTTTAATTTGATGTTCCGATATTGGTGTACCTCAGGAAACACAAATAACTCCAACCAACAGTATTAGCTGTACATTTTAAGTGGAATTTATATATTTATCAAAATAAAAAATTGACATAACCTCACGCCTGTGCCACAGCCCTGTACATATTTATGCAGAAAATATGAAATTTGTAATACATACCGTATTCCTGTTCGTACAAAGACATAGTAACGTCTAACTTTTAACTAAAGAAGCACTACTAAGACCAATAACATGCAGAATTAATTAGTTTTGTAATGTTTTGCAACTTAAATTATAAACATTACCAAACAATCACAATCGTATGGATGTTGTTGTGTTGTTGTGTTTGACAATGACATTTGTCAAAATTTTCAAACCGGCGGTCGACTGTCCCAAGTGCAAAGATGTTTTCATTTATATCTGACAATGCTGCTCGGATCAGTCGGATCAGATCGGAACACCAACTCTCGTAGCAGGGAACAGGAGAAGTAAGTGAAATCGAACGATCGATGTGCGAGCACTCTATAGAGTTTTATATTATTTACTTGGCACACTTGAATAACTACATCGAAAGTGTTTAGTGCACTTGGAGTTTATAGTCCCGAACCACCCCGAACTCTTCCAGTGCACCGGTTCCGAATCAGGACCAATACGTCACTAGCAACTCCAATTTGACATTTAAAAAAAAGAAGAAATGAAAAATTTAAAAAAGTCGTTACTTTGGTTTGGGCCGTTACCGTTAGGGGTGTTGTATTTTAGTATTGTGTTGTTTTTGTGTACTGGGGCTTTGTTATTTTATTGGAACATGAACAATGAATAATCTAAGGAACCAAGTGAACAGTATATTTTCAGCTTGCCAGGAAGCATCAGCATGCCATCAAATAAACAGCATAAAATTAAGAAAGTTATATCAACAGGTACGTTAATGAAATAATTGTACAATTAATCCAGTTTATAAGTATAGTAAGTACCTTCTAAGGCTTCTGCCTCTTTTCAGTATTTCCCAGTCTCTAGATATTCATGATTTTTGAATAAATGCAGTTTCTAAACCAGAAATAATCTAATTAAGAGTTTAACCATTGAATTAACCTTTCAGTTTTGGTATACTCAATATTATGATGGGGTATTTATATAAATAAAAGTCTCAAGCTCAAAATACTACATACAGAGTATTTTCTAATATAGGTAATAGAACCCTATTAAAGGGATGATTATATCTAAAACCTGTATAGTTGAATCAAGTAACAAAAAGTAGTGACTGTAAAGCCTTATGCGATATCAACTTTATTCATAAATGCATTATAAACTATCAGTTTACACAAGAAAATTCTGAAACCTCCTATAAAATATCTACATATCTTTATAATTCATTCTCTTTTTAGACAGATTTGGAAGAGTTCTGGGAAGCAATTGTGCCTATTATTGGCCATATCCAAGAGGTGGAATTCAAAACGAAAAATCCATACATAGACCGCATGATCGAATTCATAGGAACATTTTGTGCTGCATTATCAAAAACAAGAACTCAAAATAATACTGATGTTGAAAGTCTCGATGAAAGTTTTATCGATGATCCTTTAATTGCTAAACTAATTGATTATTTGTTGTTGGTAAGTATTAGAACAAGTTTGGTATTTACATCTGAGAAATGGAGCATAAAAACAAAACCTATTCAGATCATATAAGGGAATTTCTCGGAGAATTTATTTATTAAGTGAATAATTATTGATTCTTCCAGAAAAATAAAATCATAACAAATACTTTCATGCTAGTACACTAAAATAGTTATCCCTAAAAAGAGGTGAAATCAAAGTCAAGCCAAGCTCTTTAATATGCATTCGAAAATAAAATGGTGGCTTTATTTATTCTAAAATGTTTCAAACTTGGCGAGTACCTACTATGGGGCACTGTTTGGGCCAAAATACAATTTCTTGCAATAATATGATATTTATTATACAAATTTCTTAGGGTTTTTTTTTAAATATTAAGAGGATGGGTTAGTTTGGATTAGCTCTGTTTGGCAATACATTTTTTTCTTGGGGTTTTACATTTTCTTTCAAATATTATTAAGAGAACAGATTAGTTTGGATTAGCTCTAATTTCGTTTAAAATACCAACATCCAAAGACTAGTATTTATTACGAATTATGATGAAGCTCCGTCTGTCTGTTCCCCAGACTCTTGTGTTTAACGATAGCTATGGAGGGTGGTAAATTTTTCAGGGTTTTTGTTTTTTCCATGGGTTTTGCCATAATTCGTATCAATATGCCAAATTTCAGCCTTCTAGCATGTTTGGGTACCTTAAAATTTTGATGATCTATACATGATTGAGTGACAAAATTGGCGTTTTTTAAGGCCATGTAATTTTTTTGTTGGTCGATGGAAATCGATGAAATTTAGTTTCAGTATTAGGTCTATAAAGATCTACGACTGTGCGAAATTTCAGTTTTCTAGGACACTTCAGAGCTAAGTTACAGGTAGGTCGAAAATGACCTGAGTTGTTTCGAGAAAAGGTATACAGTAGTGCGCGAGCTTGGCATCAGGAAGAAAAGATCTTTCATTTTATCGCAAATTATACAGGGTGTTCCATTAAAAAAAACGAAGTTGTCTACGTTTCTCCATTTTTCGATGCGATTTTGTTTTTTCTAATAACAATAAAACAAAATAATATGGAAAAAACTGTCAAGTTTTGTATTTAAAATTTTTTTCTATCTTAAATAGTAAAGGTTGTAGGTATGGGTTCATATATAATCAAATACCTTGTAAGTACACGAGAATTGACGTTTTCAATTGAAAGAGATGGACGATAAAGTATGAAAACATTCAGATTCCCGCCAACATTTGCTTGCTCGTCAATGTCAAGTTTATAGTGTGTTTAGCAATCCCCTGGTTTTTATTCTAATCGGTGACTCCACCGATGAGTTAGGTATCTTTGTTCAGTGAATGGAAAATGACAATGACCGACATAGAATGGTGAAATTTGAAATTGGAAAGAAAATGTGGGAAGCAAACAGCTGCCGCAAACTAAACTTGAACATGGATATCTTTGTATACTTGATGGGTCGTGGATTTCCCTTACTTTTGCGAGTATCAGTTCTGATTTTGTGTATCCAAATTTTGACAAATGTAGGATTTGATGAAAACTTATGAAAAGACACGTCCGTCGGTAAATAGGAATTATTTTCACGAAAAGGCACACTACACACAATCACCATTGTTAGGAAAAAACCTTGAAAAAGCCGAGGAAATAATAGTTTCCAGTCTCACACGTATAAAACTCTTGTCAACAAACCATTGTCGATAGCTGTCAATCATTGTTTTCATACTTTTCATACTCTTTTGGCATCTGACAGTCTGACGCCAGAGAGAGAGGCTTGTAAATTGAAAAGGTCAATTGTAAATTGTAGGTATTTTTACTGGTATTTTTATTAAGGGAGGTAAGTATACCCAATTACCGCTTTTTTTTAGATTTTGACAAGCTGTCACTTCGTTAGGGATGAAAATTATGAGACGAAATTCTAGGGCCATAAAGAACTCGATGATACCTTTAAAAAGAAGTATGACACGACCCGTATCCCCTATTCAAATTTGGGAGGTTTTTCTCTCGCTAGCTAGGGGGTTGAAGCTACGGAGATGAAAAATAGTTCCCCCTTAAATCAAACATCGACGTGTCCAAGCGTTTTTCCAGATTCTCTCTCATCCCAAATCCAATAAATTGGGGTGGACTGTTTTCCCTGGGAAAACCTGTATTTAAGTATATAGAGGTTTATTTTATTATAAAGTTTGAAGTCCCTCTGATTGCTTGAAGTATTTTTCAGAAGCTTCAAAAGATAGGAATTTTACAAGATTTTCTTGCATTTAAATGAGAAACAATTTATAATTCTATTTCTGAGCTTAAGATCCACTTGCACTTTACTTTGAAAAAAAGACCTTACTCAATGAATCCTGAAACTTTGAAGTCCCTCTGATTGCTTGAAGTATTTTTCAGAAGCTTTCAAAGGTGATTTTAATAGAGATTTTTTTGCATTCAAATGAGAGAAAAATCATAATTCCTGTCAAGCCTGAGATCAACTTGCAGTTTTTCTTGTTTGATAAAAAGACCCTACTCAATAAATCCTGAAAGTTTGAAGTCACTCTATGATTACTTAAAGTGCTTTCTAGATATCTACTTATCAGTACGTAGGTTGGTACCAAGTTTGAATTTCGAAAAGCCAATCAAAACAAACTTTGGACTATTACATGATTTTTAAGTCATCTTAAATGGGGACAGGAACCAGATAGGTAATTGATGTTTTTTTTTATTTACAGTTTATTTTTAAACCATGAATATATTATCATTATCATTACGGCAATGCTTGACAAAAAGTAAATGTCTTCTAATTATAGATATTTATAATAAAATATAAGCAGGATACATGTATTATTATTGTTTGTCAGGAAACAATAATTAATTCGTCCCGTGAATAATAATTTAGTTGTGAATAACTCAGAAAGAATAAAGGAAAAATTAAATTTCAAAATACAAAGAAAATATAAATGCTATATTTATTGGTTTTTAAGCTCATTCATAAGTTCACCAATCATCTTCTTGTTAATAGCCAGGCCTTCTTTGTTAAGCTCGTACCAAGATTCCTGCTCCATTCTTTCAATGTAAGCCTTTAAATGCGGGAATTCAGCGTAAGGAGTGAAACTATCAAAACATGTAATTGTAGTGACCACACTGAAATCGGCAATAGTTAAACTATTGCCGGCAACATATTTGGTTTGGTTTTTTTCCAAAACGGCGTCCAGGATTTTAAAGGCTTCTTTGAGGTCCTTGATTTTTTCTTCTGTTGGCAGGATTTTTTGGAACAAAAGCGGCTTCTACAATAATAATTAATAATAGTTATAATATAAAAATAAATAAACTTACAGATATAAACAATCCTCTAATAAAAAGCACGCTAGAGTCTAAATGCAGTATATGATCAATTACAGCTCTAAGTCTGCTGTCGTTTTTTGGATACAAAGAATCGTCTTTGCCGTATTGGTTTACCAAATAGCCCATAATAGCGTGACTATCGGCCAGTAAAAATCCATCGTCTTCTTCTAGTAGAGGAACAGTGTGTTGAGGATTTTTCTAGAAAATTTAAAAAAAAAAAACACGTCACGATTTTGTAGTAATTGTAGTTATCCAAACCAATTGACATCGCATTTAAAAACGAAGGTCAACTACAATAATTATTTACTTACTTTTAAATATTCATCTTTTAAATGATCCTTACTCAACAAATCAACAGGGATCAATTCTAGTTCGACATCCAAAACTTTGGCACACATTAGAACGGCTCTTACTGGTGGGCTGGCAATGATACTGTGTAATTTAGGAGCCATTTTTGATCAATTAACGTTGCGGGCCAACGATACAATGATGCAGTTTATTCAAATATCGTTATAATATATTTTTAAGTTCGACTCGAGAGAGAGCGCAGAGTGGGATTAGATTAACCTTGCCTTATTGTTGCTTCAAATTTGTTTTAAATCGTTTCTGTATTCCGGTTTATTATTAATAATTGTGTAACTGATAAGAGCCAGGAGTAAAAGTTAGAAAACACATCAAGAGAAATTATAAAACTTTGAGAATTTGAATTGAAAGAGAAACACTTTCTTGCTTATATTTCCTTATTATTACTTATTTTAATACCAGTAATTTTTTCTCTTCCAGACGCTAAGCTCTCTGAAATAATCTGAGATTTTTAAATTGTTCTGGGGCCTTTCAAAATGCTGCTGAAGTGTTTTAGAACATTCTAAATGGCTTATTTGAAGTTCTAACTTGGCTTGAAGAGTTCTAGAGCATTTTAGAAGTTTTTCAGTAATTTCTAAATTATTCTGACATATTTTTAAGAATTTTAGAGCCTTATATTGAAGCTCAAAAGTGTTCTAAATTGGTTCAGAAAGATTTCCAGTTCGGAAATAACTTTGAAGTTTCTAAAATGTTCTAAAATACGCCTGAAAATCCTGATTTGGATGCTTATTAAAGGTTTAAAGTTCTACAGCAATAACAATACCCCCATATTGATGTGTTACCATTTCCGACGTCATAACCACTGGTTATAACTAAGTCGTCAGCTGTTTGCACTAGCGGTCATAGTTTAGAATTTAAATTTATTCCATCTTATTCGAATTCCTCTTCATCTACGGAAATTTGTTTCTTGTCACAAGAAATGCCATTACAATTACCACATAGGATTGAACACGGAATATTCGACTTTATACATGTGCATAATTTGTTACATCCTGACTTGTTGCAATATATCATATTCAGAACAAAATCAGGTGCTACTGCCTTTGACATAGTTTTTGGAACCAACATCCCAACCCCAATGTGTTGGTTCTTTTTTTATTATTAAGCCAATATTGAATTTGTAAGTAAGTCCTATAGTAATGATTCTCAGCTCCGTCTGAAGTTGGAGGCAAAGTAGCTAACTCAAAATTCTTGCTAAGAACTTGACGAGATGTAAGGGTTTTGTATTTATAATATCTGAACTGATCTAAAACATCTACTAGCCTATGCCTACCATATAAAGTAAATAAAAATGCATCTCCAGCTTCGACTATTTCAGATTTATCTGCTGAAAAATCTAAAAAAATTGATGCAGGTACTTTGTCATAAATGAGAATCTTTCTCCAAAGTTTTGTAAGTCGCCACTTTCCCTTTTTTGCACAAGCAGGATGTTGTGTCACATCCTGAGACAGCATGTGCAAACAAGATGGAATGTTTCATGTCTCCAATTTTGTTCTGCATAATTCCAATATTAGTTACTCTGTTAGGTTTTGCGGATTTTCCTGGTCAAAGTATGAAATAGTTATTTTTGTCACAAGTACCTGAAAAACTTCGTTAGGTACGTATGACAAACACTATTTTTTGTCATACGCTTTTTAGAATTCTTCAGAACGCTAAAATTTGCAAAATTTCTTTAATTTTTGAAATCATAAAGGTACATTCAGAAAGAAATAAAAAATCCTAAAAAGAAGCATTTTACGGACTTGAATGGTCGCGTTCCTAAGCACTCAACATGTTGAGTGATAAGTAAGCGGCTTTGTTCCAGCTAGTGAAATGCACAAGGTAGAAAAGTTTTGATTGGCCTAGAGCTGATTTTCATCTGTTTTCAACATAGCCGCTGACTAATCACTCAACATGTTGAGTGCTTAGGAACGCGACCAATGAGTCCGTAAAATAGCTGTTTTTGGGAGCGTATGACAAAAATATCATTTCATAACGATCCGATATAAAACTCAAAAACTGACAGGTGTATTTCGCATTTATTTTCTTTTAAATTTTATTATCAAAGGCAAATAAATGTTGACTGAATTGAAAACATGGAACCAAAGTCATAACAATTTGTTTTGTTCTGCGATTTTCGCGCCACTAAATAATTAAATTATCAGAACTGAATAATTAACAGAATTGAAAATTCATAAGTTGATAAATCGCTATGGTACAAAATTACTTTCCATTGTATCTGATAGATTTTTCAATTCTCTTTAATTTTCATGTCTTCATTTTTTTTGAAAAAAATTTACCGTTTTCGAGTTATTCGCGGTTTTTCCCAAACAGTGCTGAAATTCAAGATGGCGGACGAAAGTTGTGTTGAATATCATTGCAACAAACATGAACTTTATGATTCCATAAAAAATTAAGAATCTGAGTAAATTTTACAAATATGCTTAAATTTGAACAAAGTTATGTAAAATTGATGGGTTTTTAATAAATTTTTGTAAGTATTGAGGGCGGAAATAAAAAATAAAAAAAAAATATAGAAATATTATACAGGGTGAATCCGAAAGTGAGGCTTTTCTTTTAACGGGATATATGTCTCACCAAAATAAGTTGTTTGGCAAAAAATTGTTTATACAAAAAAATTAAGATAACGGAGTTACAGGTATTTCAGGGTCTCAAGAAGACTCCATAGGGTCCTTATTCTCAAAACATGCGAGCAGCGTTCTTATGAGAACGAAGGTCCTATCTTCGTCGCCCTACTTGCCCATACTCATGTTTGCATAACACTGCCAAAGACCAGATTAATCGTTCTCATAAGAACGCTGTTCCCCAGTTTCGAGAATAGGCATCCAATTATAAAACATTTTGTTTACATTTTCTCGGAAAAAAGCAGTTATTTGTCCAGCATAATGAGTATTTTCCATAATAGGTAATCTACAGTTGCATTATTTCATCAGAAAAATCAATCAAAAACTCCTTTTTCCATTTTCAACGTAATAATTTTTATATCTTTAAATACCTGTACCTCCGTTATCTTAGATTTTTTATGTAAAAAAATTTTTGCCAAACAACTTATTTTAGCGAGATATATACCCTGTTAAAAAAAAAGCCTCACTTTCAGATTCACCCTGTATAGAAATTATTAAGTAATTTTTTTCAAAAAAAGGTAAAAAAAATCTGATGTCATATTTTGGTATTTAGGCATAACTTTTAATTCCAAACAAGTTTTCTCAATAACATTTTACTGAATTTTCTAAAATAAGGGTACTTTACAGTACAATTGATATTTTTTGAGCTACCCTGTATGCTGTTGGTGTTATTTGTAATTATTGCAGATAACAACCATTGTTGCATTTGTCGGACTTCTGGTGTGGTCTTTCAACATACTCCCGCCCAAGTCCGGCGAAACTAACTTTTAAAAAAACTTTTGTTTGGGTTACTGGTATCTTAACGGTTTCCTTATCTCCCTTGTATTTCTTCTCATTGGTTGGATGGTATCAGCAGGTTTAATTTTTATAATCTCTTGAGATTGTTGATTTTCTTCGAGATTTTCTTGTTGAACGGTCTTCTCTTCGTCGGTATTCTGGTTTTTCTTCTTATTCAACGTTTGGGGTATCAAAGCATGAATAGGTTTTTGGGAGCACAACAATTTCGTTTTGATCTAGGTTTTTTTCTGAGGTTTCAGGTGTTAAACATTCAGCCAATTCTTCTTCTCCACCAATTTCAAGTCTACGTATGCATTGTATTGGTCTTGTGAGAGTTCCATTGGACGTTTTTACTTTCACAACTTTAATCACTTGATCTTGTCCTGGGTAAACTTCTATAATTTTTCCCATGGACCACATTGTTCTCTTCATATTTTCGGATTGAATTAGGACAACTTCTCCAACTTTAATTTTTGTGTATTTTCTCTTTTTTGACTTCACCAATGTAGCTAGATATTCATTTCTAAATGCATCTCTAATATTTTGAAGGTAATTAAACGTTTCTTTAAACTAATTCTTTCAATTTGATCTGAATCTGGTATCTCACTGCTGACTAAACTTTTCAAAAACAAGTCTAGTGTTATTGGTGTCAAAGGTGTCAAATCTCAATTGGTATGATTTTCGAATGTAATACCACAAGAGGTTTCAGGATTACCGGATAATACTTTTACCTGTCACGAAACGCGTTACGCAGCAACACCACGACTCCGAAGGAGGAGTGGTGTTGCTGGTAACGCGTTGAGTGTCAGGTAAAAGTATTAGGTAATCCTGAAAACTCGAGTGGTATTCAAAAGATTATACAACGAACTAAACTTTAATTCTTTATTAATTAATAATTTCATGAATCAAAAATTTAAATTTTTTTGTCAAAAAATGTCAAAACACCAGTTACTGTGCAAAAGGATTATCACTTATTAAGCCTCTCGTGTCATATGGGAAGGATTATCACTTGTTAATCCTCTCGTGTCATATGGGAATAATGTACAGTGAGTTGTATAATCATTGTAAGTATCAGGCTATTAGTTTGAAAAGATTTTCAGTTCCATGGAAGTTACCTCCATTATCAGAATAAATGACAGATACTCTTCCTCTTCTGGCAATAAATCTTCTCAAGGAAAAAATTAATTCTTCTGTTGAAATGGCTTTAACTAATTCAAAATGGCATGCTCGATAGACTGCGCAGGTAAATATTACTATATGTATGTATAAACTTTATCATTGTTCTTAAGATATAATGGACCAGCAAGATCCATTTCAGTAATTTCTCACTCTTTCCTTAGGTAATGCGGAGAAAGGGAATTGTATAGCATTTACTTTCTTTTTCTTGTACGGTACGCATAATCCAATAACATTTCTGATACTTTTTTTTCCTTTTATAATCCAAAACGTTTCTCTTAACTTACACCACAGAGTCTGTATTCCAGCATGACAAAACAATCTAAGTTTCTCTTCAATTAATCTTTTAACGATTTCATGATTATATGGTAGCAAAATTGGATACTTAAAACATTCCAAATCATCTCTGTTAATAATGCGAGTTTTCACTCTCAACACACCATTATCATCTTTAAAAATTTCGAGTCCTTGGAAATCCTTATCTTTTTTACCAAAACTTTCACCATGTACTTATATTTGTTATCAAGCAATTCTCTGCTTCTTCAATTTCTTCGCTTAACAGCTCTTTGGTAAACTTGATATTTTCTCGAGATACTTTTGCATAAAATCTATACATCCAAGCAACCATACGAACAATTTTAGTATACTTAGCAGGACCTTCTCACCAACGAATTTCAATCAACTGTTTGGTACTACAACCTCTTGATGGAAGATCTGCTGCATTAGAAATACCTGCCACATGATTCCACTTGCTCAAATCAGTATACTTTCGAATTTCCTCAACTCTATTGTTTACGAAAGTGTTCCAATATGACTTTGTCTTAATCCAAGTAAGGGCAACCTTAGAATCACTCCAAAAATAAGCGTTAAAGTTTTGTAAACACTGTATTTTTTGAACTGATCTATATAGTCAACAAGCTATCAAGCCTGACAATAACTCAAGACGTGGTAAAGTAATTTTTCGTATGGGCGTGATTCTTGACTTTGGAAGTAACAAATCTCTCCATTTATGTCAACTCTTAGGAAAATATAGGCTGTCTAAGATGCTGTCTGTGATGTTACTAGCATCAGAGAAAATATGTAAGGACACGTCATGATCGAAGGAGTAGTCTTACAAAAGGTTCTTGGAATCTGACAATGCTCAACAAGACATATTTGTTCAAGCCAAACTTTCCAGGTTCCTTGTAGAAGAATCTCTGGTAAGAGTGTTACTGGACTAGTGAAACCTATTAGATCAAATACACGTTGTGTTGTGCAGCCGACATAATGCCTCTTTTTGAAAATGGAATATCTGTTCTAGAAATGAGGCCTCACAACAAAGTACATCTTGTTCAAAATTCCATGCAAATCTGAGAACTGATACTGAACTTCCTCCCTACAAGGCATCTCATTTTTGTCTTCTTTCCCATTAACAAAACTCATCAACTTATGTTTTAGAGAAAATACTTTTCCAGATGTCTTAAAGAAAGCCATGGTTATACCAATTTTTAAAAAGGGAGATAAGAACGATGTATAATTTCCACCAATAATATCCAAGGTAGTTGAGAACTATGTAAGTGCTTTCCTGTATGTTAACATCAAATATATTTTGATTTGATTTTGATTTTAAAGAACCTCTGGGCATTAAATATCCATTTTCTCAAATCAAATCCACCTGAAGACAAACATGTTTTAGACTCATTTACAAATATTTTTTATTCTTGCATACTATCGACACTCGTTACACGCTCCGAGCATAAATAGACTTGAGGAAACTCCAAAAACCACCCTTGTATATCCATAGATTTTGATTTCATTCGTAGAAGCATCTTTCCTCCATAAAAATCTTAATACATCTCTGTCTTTTTCTGCTATACCAATCGTAAGGAAAGCTTTTTTACTATCGGAAATTATACCTATCAAACCTAATCTAAAACCTAAGATCTCAAGTATCAACTCAATAAGAAGTCTCTTTTCCAAACTTAATGACTTATATGAATAAAATAGAAGCGAATGCTTTCGCTTAAGTTTTTTGCTCGGTTTTTTGAGCTAAACAGTGGCCGAGTCGGTAAAATCACAGAAAATATAGTTCACACTGTGTGAACTATATTTTCTGTGCTTGTATTAACAGTTCCATGATTTTTTATAAACTTAAGCAGCATAACAGTAGGCGTAATTGCTTAGGAAATAACATCGACCCTCCAAAAAATTACAAATGACAAATATCATTTTTTCTTGAAGTTAGCAACAAGCTGCGAATTTGAGATAATCCATTTTAGGTCCAATTTTACAAATTTGGAAGATTGATAAATTCTCTACTTCTGGTTTTTTTTCAGGATTATTAATCCAATCCACTTAGTATCTGGATACAACGCGTGAAATGTGAAATAAATGTAGTCTTTGTCATATGAAATAATGAAAAGTTTATCTATGTCTATTATCCATGTCTTCATATATATTTTTCTTTCTAGGGTAGTGATTGTGATTCAGAAACAATAAGATTACGGGCCTGCCAGTTGATTAACAAAATTTTTGACAATTCTATTGAAGCTGATATAAGTGATGAACGATACGAAGCCATTAAAGATGCTTTATTAGAAAGACTTAGGGTAAATTCTAGTTTATTTTGTATTTATTTTTCTGTGATTTCCAAATCTCATTTCTCTTTGCACTTTTTCTTTGTGAGACTTAAAAACTTTTTTCTAAATTGATTTTCAGCTTCTGGACAGTTTCTAATGAAATTTTGACGTAAACAGTTTTGAATTCATTTTTCACTTGCCTTGCAGAATTCTTGGTTAATACTTATTCTCTCTATCCTTATTTTTGCTGTGAGACTTCTCATACTTTCATTAGAGAGTCAATAAAATCTTGTCCGGGTTTTGGTATTACTTATCCTAAATCTAGATTATAATTTTAGCAGTTCAATATCGATTTTAACGAAAATTTTAGGATTCAAAAGGCGACATAAGAATCCAGGCCATCCTGGCCCTCTATCGTCTACAAAATCTAGAAGATCCTGAAGATCCCGTGATAGCAGAATTCATTTATTTGCTGCACGACTACCTGGCAAAAGTAACAAACATTCAATACATTTTGTATAAATTTAATTCAATTTCCATAATAGGTTCGAAAGGTGGTAGTAGAAAAAATAGCTATACGCCGGGACGTTGTCAATTTTATTATAAAAAGAACACGGGATGTTGACATCAATGTAAGACTGGCAGCATTTAAAAGAATTTCAAAATTGGTTAGAGCCTTGAAGGTTAGTTTTGAATACCTATGTCAACTCAAATAAGGAATTAGAAATCAGAGATTACCTACTAAGTATGTGGTTTTTAGATAGATGAGCGAGTAACAGTTTTAATGGGAGGAAAGTACGATTCTTGTGAAAAAAATAGAAATTACGTTTGCACAGAGCTATTGTCGTCTTGGTGGGAAATATACAACTATGATATATTACTATTAATGAAATCGCTCAGATTGGACGCAGATGAAAAAGATATCCAGCAAACTTCATCAGTATTCGAATATGTTTTAAATCAATTTTATTTCAAGTAAGTATTTCATTTGCTGAAACCTTCTTTAATAAATTGCCTATATATATATATTTTTTTTGATTCAGAAATAGAACAGTGACTGAAATTCTTGAAGTGCTAGAATTGAATAACGAAAAATTGCTACCTTTTGAGAAACTCAATTGGGAAACAATAACATATTGGAAACTATTGATTATGAAATTGATTTCGGACAAAGATTTAGAATGTTATGTAGAAAAAGTCGTTCCAGAAGTTGTATTTTTGTGTCGATATATCAAAGAGTAAGAATCAAAACACTAAATAACCTGCGCATAACAAATTTTTTTAAATTAGATTTTCAGAGCTTGATAACCCGACAGACATTTATTTGGAAACACAGTACATCCTCAAACAATTATTCCTCATGATCAAAGTGTTGGATTTATCAGATCCTCATACCATTAACAACGTGCACGCTTTAGTGGAATATGTATTGAAAAATGGGGATTTGATTGACGACACTATGGAAGCGATTATAGGAGTTTTGGTTAAGACTTTGCCCGATCCTGATACTAGATGCCGTTTTGGGATGGAGATTATTTCAGATATATTGTATCCCGTAGATTATGAAGAGGAATTGCAAAACCAAAATGATCTTACATTCAAGGTGAATGCAATTGACCTAAATTATTTATCTGTTAAACCATAGAAAGATTTTCTTGATAACAATAGTTATAAACATATATTTTCAGATGACCAAATTAAAAACAAAAAGCATCCAGTTGTCACATGAACAAGACGAAGCAGTGAAGGCTCAAGATTTTTTACTTGCTGAAAGGTTAAAAGGTGAAATTGAAAGTGTGCTGCTGCAACTGAAGAATCTCAAAAACACTATTTCAAATCCTACAATCATCAAACAGAAGAAAGTCGAAGACCTGCCTACTGTTTGCAAGTGTTTGGATATTGCCTGGGCTATTTTACGATGTGTAAGAATTTTAATTGATGTATTATTTTTAATCACCAGCCAAGATGCTACATATTTAATCCACAGTAGATTATTGGAGCAGGTTATATTTGGTACATTCGTTTTATACGCAATAGCAAGCATAATCAATATTAATTTTTACCACTACACAACTATCTTTGTTTTTCAATAACTTAACAGTTAGTTCTCCTGTTCAAAGTAATGAATGGGTTCTAGTCTTCCAATAAATTTAAAATTAATCTGCTTTTTTTTATTTTCAGGTGACTAAATTGACACCTACCCTAAAATCAATTCAACATGATTTTCTACCAGATCTATTGTCGAGCAAAGACGATTTTGTACGACTGAAAGCTTTACGGTGCTACGCAATATGCTGCATTTACGATAAAAAAACTGCTGGACAGGGTATACATATTTACGCTGCATATGTAAGCATTTTATTTCTATTACGGTATATTTTTTTATTGGTTGACAGCATATAGGTATGCAATACAGGTTTTCTTAAGACATGATCAACTTGACAGCTTTATTTCCTCTTTCATATATTCAACTAAAATTATGTGTTTTTTGGCCGTTAGGGTATTACTTGATGGTTATTTTGAACTGTAGGATATTGACAACTTTTGGGTAGGAGGCAACTATTGGCAATTGGGTAGGAACTAGTCCATTTTGAGTTTCCTCATTACATTGATTATACCATAAATTGTTACAATAATATTGACTAGGGTGAATTAAAATTTTAGATTCATTTCTTGGTAGGACCTACAGAATCTACAAATTTCTAATTACTTACATTTTGTTCAAAAATAGGTAACTTAACTACAAGAATTGCTATTTCCGTCATAATTAGGAGAGAGAGGGTTAGTTTGGGACTACAAGAATTGCTATTTCCGTCATAATTAGGAGATAGAGGGTTAGTTCTGATAAGTGCTTCAAGGGCCATAAGGCATTTTTTGGATATTGCACTTTTAAAGATTGCCAAATATCTTTTATTTCTGTTAGACTTAACATTTCAAGGTCTAGAGTTTTTAAATGAGCAAAGGATAAATGATTCTAAGGATTTTTTCTAGGTATTCGTTAAGATTGGTGATTTGTATATAAATAATTTTGTAAGAAAATCATGGTATTAAATTCAATATTCAAATTTAAGAATTCTGTTTGAATATTTTTCGCATTTTTGTTCTATGATTTCAATGTTTTTCTCAAATTTCTTTTTCTATAGAATTTATTTGGTTGACTTTTATTACTTGCAAATTCTGTGTAATAGTTTCTAAGTCGTCATTATCTAAATTTCTTGTGATAAATTTGATGCCGCTTCCTAGGTAGTTCATTGCACCTCTTTTCTTGCGACTGCAATGAAATACAGGGTGATTTTGACTTTTTACAATGAGGAATTTGCAGATTTTTTTTTTATTCTCTTATTAAATTTTTCACATTGTAAAAAATCACTTATTTACGTTATATTTAGGATGACGTCATGGAACCAGCAGAGACAATGTTGTCAATGCCGGTTTTTTTTCTTAAAATTAAAGAAAATGTCATGTTTAAATTCTGTCGAACAAACGGAAAATGGAAGTGCTGTCACTGCTGTCAGCAGATATTTGTTTGTACACTGAAAAAAGAAATCCTCTGAACCAAGAGACATTCAGCCAAAAGATTTTCGGATTTGAATAGGTGAAATGCGAAGTCTCTTGAACCAAATCCCTAATTCTCTTGAAAAAAATCGCGAAGTTTTTCTTATGGAAATAGCCCTTTCTCTTGGCATTGAATATCTTGTGCCAAGAGCTTTCGGACTTGGCTCAAATGAAATGGTTGTTGTTTCAAGAGGGTAGTTTACTAATTTTTGGCCTGTATAGTTTAACCATCCTCAGCCATTTTTTCAATATTCAGATAAGATACCATGAAATGAAAAATATAAAATGAAAATGATATTGAAAAACGAATCTATTAGACTATTACATAAATAGAAAAGTATTAAATAGGGTAGAACCAATTCAAAAATGGTACCATGGTTTCATTTCAACCCGTACGAAAGCCGCTATCACGATAGCGTACCAAATTGTCTGAGTTCTGAGTGGTAGTGGGATTGCTGTTCTCGCGCCAAGAGCGAAAGACTGGAAATCTGAACGTTTTCTCTGGCGCTAAAAGACAGATCGTGCATCCGCTACCGTTCTTGTGAGAAGATCTTCCAAATGACGCGGTATTTTCCCAATAGCGTCAAGGATTTTGAATCAAAAGCTTTGGATATAAATTCAAAACTTTTATCTCTTGAATGAAATGCTTAATTCCCGCAATTTTGAAACAAGAGCTTTCGATTTTGTCTGCTGTGAAATACATCCAAGAATCGTTTTTACTTTAAGAGAGCCATTTCTCTTCTCCCAATATAAATGATCTTAATTCAAATAACATTCACTTGAAGCAAAATATTTTCTCTTGTCTACAGTAGATTGTAGATTTCTAGATTTGTACATTGTGCGGGGGAGTTATTTCGGCTATTCAGCCGCTCAGCACTGCTACCCTTGCAGATATTTTGTACGTGACTCTACATCTTAAGTTGTCTTCAGGAAGCGTAGACTTCTGCCGAACGAAGCTATTTTCCTGGGTGTCAGCTTGCTCTTTTCTTCTGATGACCAGTGTTTCCCCCTCGAGGAATTTGAGACTCTTGCAGAATTGGGCTGGACATTCGTGCTGTGCGGTCTCTATTGCGTCTGAGCAGAATCTGCAGAGATTGTCTTCTGCTCTGCCCATTAACCTTAAATGGTATTTTACCACGCAGTGTCCTGTGAGCAGTCCTACCACCAATCTGATGTCTAGTCTGCTTATGTTTAGGAGCTGTTCAGCTCTTTTTGCTGAAAGGGTAGTAAACCTTTTTAACTGCTTGTCTACAGTAAGTGACGTTAAAAACCAGTTCAAGAGCGTTGGGGACTTTGGGCCAAGACCCTCTGTTTTTTCAGTGTATGTTTTACTGGTCACTGGTCACTATCGCTATCATCAGAACTATCATTGCCATTAAAATCAATTATAAGTGGTGGAATATCTCCTCGATCAAATAAAACCTCTCTGTCCCACCAACGTTGTATTTCTTTTTCTGTATGTTCAACAGTTTTTGCCCATACTTCAGGAGTTGCTTGTTTTAGAGCTTCTTTCCACGTTTCTAGTGATTTTTCTGCTGAACTACCAAATTCTCCTATATGGTCCCTATAATAGTTCTTGGTGAAACCCCAAATATGTTCGATAGGGTTGAAAATACAATGGTATGAAGGCAAACGGAGAACGTGATGACCATATTTTTCAGCTAGCTCGTCGGCTTTGTACACTGGCTGTGGTTTATTTCTACAAAAAAAAAAAAAGTTTAATAATTATTTAAACTTCTTTTAAACCTACGTCACCCTACGTTTTGACTAAATTCAATAATTATTGTTTTAAAAAAGTGCTGTCAAAGTGAATATTATTTTCTTTGAGCCACATTTGAATATCAGCTTTCTTGGTTGCTGTTGTAGGGGCCTTATTCACCAGAGTGCTATGGTAACTAGCATTATCCATTATTATAGTTGAAGGTTCTTCCAAATTTATCAGCAGCTGATACTCAAACCACTGTAGAAAATTTTCTTGATTCATTTCCCCATGATAGTCAGCATCTCGAGTTTTTGAAGAAAATATCAATTCTGCACCAGGTATAAATCCTTTAGTGCAACCAGCGTGCAGAATAACATATCTAAAACAATAATTAAAAACAAATTAATTGTCAAAATTTTTGCCATAACAAAAGCTAAGAATATAGGATATATAAAATTTAAAACAAAAACATATGCAGAAATTATCAATATAGCATTTTTCACTTAGGGAAGCAGTTGCGTAGGTAAGTATATTAACAGCATTGTTCGATGGAAAACCCTATATGAAAATTTACCTTTTGCCACCAACTTTAGTCTTCTTTACCTTGGTACTTGAATCCTGCCAAGAACGACCAATAGTGCCATCTTGGAAAATCCATGTTTCATCAAGAAAAACAAACTGTGGCAAACCTCCATTTTTGAGTCGAACATATTCTCTCAAAAAGTTAACTCGTTTTAGAGCAATACTTGGCAATTCCATTAGCCCACGTCGTGGATCATATTTGCTATATTTGAAGCCAATATTTTTCACAATTTTCCATAATGATGTCAAGCAGCCACAAGCAATATCACGTTCAATTAGTTTATCTCGTAAGGTTTTCAAAGTAATGTGTCTCTGTAATAATGTTAATACAGATTTATTTGAACACCAACAAAATATAATTCAATTAGCTCTTTGCCATTTGCGCGATGGAGAAAAGCGCGATACGAAAAGCGCGAGGGATAAAAGCGCGATGGAACAAAAACGCGACTGGACAAAAGCGCGAGGAACAAAAACGTGACTGAGCACGACGGTGTCTATAATTATCGGCGCGTTTCTGTTCCGTCGCGCCAACCCAAACTAACCGAGTTATTATCGGTAAGTTTGGAAATGTCTGACTAAAATTGCGAACTAACCGGGTTATTATGAGTAAGTTTGGAAATGTCTGACTGAAATTACAAACTAACCGGGTTTTTATGGGTAAGTTTTATAATGTCTTGAAGTCCATTTGCATTTTTGTCCCTCGCGCTGTTATCCAGCCTTTTTATTTCAGTCGCGTTTTTGCCCATCCTGCTTTTGTCCTATGGCGTTTTTGTTCCATCACGCTTTTGTCCTTCGCGCAAACGGTTGTCGCTCAAATGACACAGAGCCAATTTAGTCACTCACTATTTTTATACATTTCGTAGATAACATTTCGGATTGCAATCAAACTCATCGATATTAACAACAGTTTTTGTGCGATTACGTTTTTTTGATGGACTTTTTAGTGGTTCTCCTCTACGGCATTTCGCTGCAATGCTATTGACAGTACAACGGCTTAATTTTAATGCAGCTACAACTCGCTAAAAAGACATCATTTTATTAGAATCATAGAAAAATATTTTAATTTATACTTTCAAATAAATAGGTACCTATATAATAAAAATAGGTAATTTACTTACATCCCTCACAGCAGTAAGAGGCAAAAATGGTCCTCCATTATCGCGTTCCTGCTCGAAATACGATATTAGGTTTGCTACTATTTCCTGCGACTGACTCGACAAACCTTTAGGCATTTTCTGAGGTTACCTAGTTCACGCGTTACGAAAAAGTACCGAGTTCTTAGAAGAACTTTTTTAAACTGTATATTCTTGGCACTTAATTAGAATTAAGTATACAAAATAGTTAATAATAAATTGACAAAACCAGTGACAACTAAAAATAATGAAATGAATCGACAGGCATTATATGAAAAAGTTTATATTTTTTTAAATATAAATCGTGCATCGTCGCGCGCCATTACCAAACAAAAACTTTTGAAATTCCCCTACTTTAAATGCGTTAAAAAGTACTT